TCGTTTTCTACGCATCAACTCTGCCCGCATATTCTAAGATATTAAATTTGTAGACAATGTATGGACTTTTCGCAGGCGCGTGGCTTCTACGTAGTGACATTTTAAGCAAGTCTATCGTTTAAGTTTCGCCGCTGGGAATTTTGAAAGCAAAAGTATCCTCGTAACAGTCAGCATCGCATGGTGTTATTGCAAAAGAACATCGCAAAGATCTGAATGAATTGGAGTTAAATTTGGTCGGCTTCGCCTTGGCATTGCTGTATTTTCTCGTCTTGTGATTCACAGGCCTACAAGAAGGAGAGGTAGACTTCATTCTTAGCGACCGCGCGCGTTAGCGTGCGAGGCGATACGTGACTGCCCTTCTTTTGACTTCCTCTACTATAACTTTCGGATCGATATGCATCACTTGGATTATTCCCCTCTGAAGTTAGTAAGCATCAGCTATCTGTCATTATTATCTTTGCTACTCTCATATGTCCGCAGCTGCACAAATTTAAAACATTTTAATCGTTTATGCAACACTATTTAGCATCTTAATATTTCGACATGGTTATCTGCTTTTGCCGGTTCTGGTGGCGGCTGCCCCCGAGCTGGTACTGCTGCAGCCCTCTGACGAATTTCTTTATCTTCCGTGACAGTCGTCGGCAGTTTGAAAAACGCAGTAAGCGGCCCATTTTCAGGACTGTACTGAAATCAATAAGTCAGTTATCGTTAATTTAGGTTATATTTCTCCAATATGATATACCTTAGCAGTGCATATGACAATTTTGTCGTTACTTTTTAGCGTTTTCTTTGCATTATAATGTACTTCTATCTCCGCTGCTTCGCCGCTTTCTATGGTGCCAAATACTGGTTTGATCCTTGATTTAAAAAAAAAAAATTATTTCGCGAGTAACCTACAACACTTTCAATTAGGTAAAACTCACCAGAATGCTCTATTATTAGAACATTTGACTTTAAACGCTATCATATTCGATGTTCGATTCATCACCCATACCGTCTAAAACTAATCATAAGCCAAAGAACTGATTTATATTTCAACTGCATCGATAAGACCGTGCCGCATTGTGCGCACACTGCGCCCATCATCTACTGCGGCGGCATGGCCATGCTCACTGTGTTTTAATCTACCTGTTTTTCTACTTGCCCCGTCCAATCCATCTGTTCAGTACTGTATTCGATTTCTTC